GATGCTTGAAAAACATCATATTGTCTGATTACCTATATATACAGATTGTTGGTGACCTTGCATTGCAACTGAAGGTTGCGCAAATGGTGAAAACTTGAGAAACAGTGTGCATAGGGTAGAGGCATTGAAGGAATCCCTATATTTCCTAAAGGACTCAATGCTCTAATAGCTAATGGGAGAAGGGGCATAAAGAGAATGGTTGATTAAGCAGTATTTTTCAACAGTTGGATCAAGAAATTGGATTAATACAGAAATGGGAGAGAATAGAATTATGAGCAAGGATGCGTAAAACTGACATGGAGTAGATATATTTTGAATAATCAATTATAAGCTATTTGTTATTTTTATTATTTGCTGCCAATTAATAAAAATACAGGCAGTTCCCAAGTTAATCCTGACCCAGCCCTAGTATAGCTGTTCAGCAGGCCTTGGAAATGAGTAGCCCCAGGCCCTACCCTGGCCATTGGTTAGGACTCTGCTCTTCACTTTATCCACTTCCCTGGCCCTATGCTTTCCCGTTGGCCCAACCCTTTCATAGCTGTTCAGCAGGCCTTGGAAATGAGTAGCCACAGGTCCTATCCTGACCATCAGTTAGGACCCTGCTTTGCATTTAACCCACTCCCCCGTCCCCATGCTACTGCGTTACACTAGCCCAGATCTCTCATAGCTGTCTAGGCCCACTCTGAAATTCTGGCCATTGCTAGTCAATTTTGCCCGATGGAATAGTACTGGAACTGGCTTTTAAAATTTAAATATGTTATGACTGTCTTAATAATATTTTGTTTATGTTTTATAATGGTTAATCTGTATGATTTTGTGTTGGTAATTGAATGCTTTGTCTATGCTGGAAACAGCCCCGAGTCCCTCCAAGGAGCTAGAGCGGTATGAAAATAAAGTATTATTATTATTATTATTATTATTATTATTATTATTATTATTATTATGAACAAGATAAGCTCTGTAGGCTTGTTCTTAAGATGAATTTATCAGAACAGGTACATTTTAAAATGTAACTCCAGCCAAAAATAAGTATTTGTTAACTTTGGTTGGCATAGGGAAGGGTTAACACCCCTGTGGTGTTTTGCTATCTGTGGCCCTGTTCAGAAGATTTCATCTCACTTTTTGTCCCTGGGATAATTGAATTTTGAAAAAATTTGAAACAAGGATACATTTCCATTTTACTGAGTGTTGTTGTCTTTACATAAACTCACATGATTTCATGATACGACCAAAACACAATAGCCTTGCTTTAGTCATTGTGACTTCTACTAAGTGTTTAGTAGACCTGCCAGATTTGACAGCTAAATCAGCTGTTGGAATTTAAGAGACAATTGAAGATCTATCTCTTCCAGCAGGCCTACCCAGTCAATTTTTATGTATGAGTTTAAACTTATGTCTTGTGTTTTGTTGTTGTTTATTTGTTCAGTTGCTTCCGACTCTTCATGACATCACGGAGTAACCCATGTCAGAGCTCCCTGTCGGCTGTGGCCACCCCCAGCTCCTTCAAAGTCAAGCCAGTCACTTCAAGGATACCATCCATCAATCTTGCCCTTGGTCTTCCCCTCTTCCCTTTTCCTTCCCTTTTCCCCAGCATCATTGTCTTCTCTAAGTTTTCCTGTCTTCTCATTATGTGGCCAAAGTACTTCATCTTTGCCTCTAATATCCTTCCCTTCAGTGAACAGTCAGGCTTTATTTCCTGGAGTATGGACTAGTTTGATTTTCTTACGGTCCAAGGCACTCTCAGAATTTTCCTCCAGCGCCACAGTTCAAAAGTGTCTATCTTCCTTTGTTCAGTCTTCCTTATGGTCCAGCTCTCACATCCATTGGTTGCTACGGGGAATACCATTGCTTTGTGGATCTTCTTTGCTAGCGTGATGTTTCTATTCTTCATTATTTTATTGAGATTGGTCATTGCTCTCCTCCCAAGAAGTAAATGTCTTGTGTTTACTGTAATTTAATCCTTGCTCTGGGTATTTTAATATATGTATTTTATATAAATACATTTTTATATATGTATTTTAAATAATATTTTATAATTATGTGTTTCAACTGTGTCCTGCCCCAGGGAGAGGGAGGTAAGATAATAATAATAATAATAATAATAATAATAATAATAATAATAGCAACACAGTCAAGAACCAACATTGATGGAAGTCAATACTAGAAAACTGTCTAAAGTGCAAAAGGCAAAGAGTGAATACCATAGAAATATAATTCAGAGCAGAAGAGAAAACTGGCAAAAGAAGGCTCTCCATGGAAGTTCCTGGAAAAAATTGAGAACAAAATTGACAACGTCGATGTGGTTCACAAATGGAACTTTGAAAAAGGAGATGGAGGGCCTGATTCTTGCAGCCCAAGAACAAGCTATTAGAACAAATGCCATCAAAGCCACAATTGAAAAGTAAACTACAAATCCCAAGTGTGGACTCTGTAAGGAAGCAAATGAAACAATGGTTCACATACTCAGCTGCTGCAAGAAGATTGCACAGATGGGCTACAAGCAGAGGCATAATATTGTTGCTCAGATGATCAATTTGAACTTGTGGCACAAATACCATCTGCCTGTGACAAAGAACTAGTGGGATCACAAGCCTGAAAAAGGTACAGAAAATTAACATGTCAAACTACTCTGGGATTTCCGAATTCAGATTGACAGAGTTTTGGAGCAAAATACTCCTGACCTCACCATCGTGTTAAAAAACAAAGTATGGATCATCGATGTTGCAATCCCAGGTGACAGCAGAATTGACGAGAAGCAACTGGAAAAGTTGACACGATACAAGGATTTAAAGCTCGAACTGCAAAGACTCTGGCACAAGCCAGTAAAGGTGGTCCCAGTGGTGATTGGCACACTGAGTGCAGTACCTAAAGACTTTGGCCAGCACTTGAAAACAAATCGGCACTGACAAAATTACCATCAGCTGCAAAAGGCCACCCTACTCGAATCTGCCTGCATTATTCACTGATACATCACATAGTCCTAGACACTTGGGAAGTGTCTGATGTGTGATCCAATACAACAGCCAACATAATGATCTTGTTTGCTGTGTATTAATCTTGTTGTGTATCAAATAATAATAATAATAATAATAATAATAATAATAATTTGCCAATGTTTATTGGATACAATAAACATTGACAAAATCACAATCTGTCAACTACAAAAGGTCACCTAGCTTGGATCTGTGCATATCATACATCACACAGTCCAAGACGCTTGGGAAGTGTTCGATTTGTGATTTTGTGATACAAAATCCAGCATATATATCTTGTTTGCTGTGACATACTGTCTTTTTGTATAATAATAATAGTAACAATAATAATAGTAATAATAATAATAATAATTATTATTATTATTATTATTTGGCTGGCTATGCTCTCAGGGCCATTCATTCTTTTTCCCAGGTCATCATATATTTAGAATTGTCCTCCAGTACTAGATTTCAAAGGAGTTGATTTTCTTCTAGTCAGTTTTTTTCACTGTCAGGTTTTAACAATAGAAATCAGAAATGCTATAGTGTGTAGCCTCAGACTTTCCTGTCACATCTGAGTACTCTAGCAGCTGAGCATTCGTTTGGCTTGAATCCAGTTGTGTCATTCAACATAGTGCAATTTGTATTCTTCTACATAAGCTGGCTGAGTGCCTCCCAACTGAGAGGGGGCTCTCATCTTCTGGCATGATCTCTTTGGATTGTCTTTTAGGTTTTAAAAAGTCATTCAGAAGTGTTTTTCCGGTTTCTCCTTCTGTGCAGTTCTAACTAGAGTTACCTAAAGTGCCGAAGCCATGGTTTCTGAGACATTCTTGAGAATATAATCTCCCATTACTGCTATTGACCTATATCTTCCTTTCTCAGATTCATGTGTTTGGCACACATGTGTCTGGTTCCTCAACAAAAGTCCACCTGATCTATCAGCAACGCTGTTACTGTCAGCATAGCTTCTTGACTCATAGAAAAACTAGTACAATTAGCAATTCATATCCATGGATTCTGCATCTACAGATTCAACCATGGCTTGAAGATATTTTCAAAATAAAAAGCCCCAAAGGTAAATCTTGTCTTTGCCATTTTCTATACTCTACTCTACTCTACTCTACTCTACTCTACTCTACTCTACTCTACTCTACTCTTCTCTTGTATATAAAGTGACTTGAAAATCACAGATTTTGGTATTCAAGGAAAATCCTGGAAACAAACCCTGGTCTATACTTAGGATTCACTCTATTATGGTGAGCTAATATGCCAAGTGGCATCTGAAAATATCAATATCAATCTTAACCTGACTACCAGGAAAGGAAGTAACACCACAAATAGCACCACCATTTTGAACTTCCTTCAATCTCTCTATAGAATCATAGAGATGGAAGAGACCTCATGGACCATCCAGCCCAACCCCCTGCCAAAACAGGAAAATCACATTCAAAGCACCCCCAACAGATGACCATCCAGCCTCTGTTTAAAAGCCTCCAAAGAAGGAGCCTCCACCACACTCTGGGGCAGAGAGTTCCACTGCTGAATGGCTCTCACAATCAGGAAGTTTTTCCTAATGTTCAGGTGGAATCTCCTTTCTTGTAGTTTGAAGCCATTGCTCTGCATCCTAGTCCCCAGGGCAGCAGAAAACAAGCTTGCTCCCTCTTCCCTATGACTTCCCCTCACACATTTAGACATGGATATAGATAAAATGTAGATAAAATTGTTCATGTTGTTTCCTTGCCCCTGGCATCCAATTGGGTTTACTTCTGAGATACATACAAGCAGGATGGAGTGTGTGTGGAGAGGCTTAGTATTCCTGCTGTTCTGTTAATATGGTCCCAGCTGTTTGACTGAACTAGTAGCCTTCCCAGATAAGATGGGCAGCAAATACTCCAAGGCTGCTGGAAACAAGATTGATCACCCACTCCACGAGATATATCCAAGTGAGCTGAGAGACTTGTCCTATTCTTAAATCTACTGGTTTGGATTTCCTGGCTTTTGACCGATACCCTGTCTCTTGACTTTCAGACTGCTAATTGGAACCCTGGCATCACATTTCCCTGGTGAATGATGCCAGCCATGGAGAGGGAATGAAGAAATGGCCATCTCATCATGTAAGTAAATCTGTTTAAAACAACAATCTTTAACTGGCATCTTATATGGGTGCCCAGTTTCAGATCAGCAGCAGCATTGATGGTGGGAGTTATTGTACAACATGCGTAGAAGGCATTCGGCATGTTGAGGCAGAGAATTCGACATGGGGCAGAAAGAGAATTCAACACAGAGCTACCATATTGGACATATATTCACTATGACCATGGCATTTGATTTTGTAATTCAGGGTGCATTTAAACTGTAGAATTAATGCAATTTGACATCACTTTAACTGCTATGGCTCAATGCTGTGGAATCCTGGGATTTGTAGTTTGGTGAGGAACCAGTACTCTTTAGTAGAGAAGGTTAAAGATCTTAGAAAAGAAGAACTGCCATGATTGAATAGCACTGAATCATGACAGTTAAAATGGTGTCAAATTGCACTGATTCTAAATTGTAGATGCATCCTAAGAAACTAGTGGGGAAGCAGGTATGTCAGAAATATGGAGAAAAGCATTTTTTTAAAATTTCTTTTATGGACTCACCTTTCCCTGTCTCAGAATATCCATTATTTGCTGAAGACAATTGTGTGAAGTATATGGGCATTGATGAATTCATTGCAAATCAGATAAATAGATGCACATGATCGCAATGTCTTTGCACACCAATCCTCATATCAATATTGATAGCTCTTACATGCATGTCATAGAGTATATCTCACTATAGTGTTACAAATTAGAACATAAACTTTATTTAGCTGGCATTTATGTTTGTGTAGATTGTATTGAAGATTGAAAAAAGCCAATTTTTTCTAGTTATTGCCATTGGATGCATCAACAAAACCTAATTTTTGAAATGTCATACATTAAAAAAAGGAAATGGTTATAATCAGCCACGGGGGAAAATAATTTGACTGAATTTAATGACTACACCATTGTTATTTTTACTCCCCCCCCCCCCCGTTAAAGGAGCATCTCTCTGATAAAAAAAGCCCCACGTGGTGGTTACTTCCTGCCTTTCTATGGTAACAGCAGGGCCCTTTCACACTATGCGATAGAACTATATTCTACTTTAACTGCCATGGTAATATTCTATGAGGTCCTGGAATAGAAAATTCCTTGCCTTAGAAATCCCCACAAACTTCATGGGGTCACAATAAATTAATAGGCAGCAACAGTCACAGTCAAGTTGTGTGACCTCAAGTAATTTCTGATTTATGGCACCCCTAAGCTGAATCAATCACAGGATTTCTTGGCAGAATTTGTTTAGTGTCCTCCATGACTTGAGAGAGTGTGACTCGTTTAAGGTCACCCAATGGGTTTCCATGGCTGAGCAGGTATTTGAATCCCGTTCTTCAAATGTTTGACACTAAAACCACCATACCATTTTCTCTTTTACACACACACACACACTCTTTCGTCACACACACACACTGCTTTCTTCAATCAGGACTCTGAGTCCTCTCTCCATCTTTGCATGCTGGCAAGACAGATTTCCACAGGCAACCATTGGAAGTGGCTGTGCATCATGGGATGGTTTCTGTGGGACTCTGTTTTGCCAGGGTACGAAGATCGTAAGAAAATGGGGGAAAATAGGGTGGGATAAGGTCTTTAGAATTCCCAATCATAGACTTGTATTGTTTTACCACACTACAAACTATGTATTCCTTAGAATGCTGTTGTGACAATTAAAGTGGAATATAGCATGAACGTTGTGTAGAGTGGCAGGGCCTCGGGAATCTTCCATATAATTCTTGCCACCCTGAGGTTTAGCAGACTCCACTCCAAATTGACCAAGTCTTTAACTGTACCCTGCATAAAGTCTTCTTTCATTTTTCAGAAAGGCAGAATTTTGCTTCCCAGTTATACAATTTTCTGTTTTGTATCTCTGAGAGCACTTATGAAGAGGGAGAGGGATGAGGGAGGGAGAGAGTGGGTTTGCGTAACTAACAGGTCCACTGTATAATGGACCAAGGCGGTGAGATCTGTGGTCTACTTGTAGGGCCAAGACCTCTGCCCATACACCTGTTCACATTGCTTCAGTGTGTCACATTCAGCATTCCATTCTAGTTTCATCTTCTTTTGTTCGACATCCTGTTTCACTTTTTCTTTATCACAGGCCCCTTTCCACACAGCTGAGTGAAACCCCACATTATCTAGTTTGAATGGAATATATGGCAGTGTGGACTCAGATAACCCAGTTCAAAGCAGATATTGTGGGATTTTCTGCTTTGATATTCTGGGTTATATGACTGTGTGGAAGGGTTCACAGACACATAAAGGGCTTCTCACATGTTAAGAAGCAGCCTAAATGTTAACAACTGGTTTGTGTGAATCGGCCAAATAACACTACTGGCTATATCACATTTTTAAATGGGGTGGGAGGTAGAGATGTAGGGGTCTTGCTGTGGAAATGAGGACCAATAGAAAGCCCAGAAATCTCTAGGACAGGAGGACTCCAGTATTTTATGCCATTCCTATGGCAGGAAGGTTATTGTGGATGATCTTAAAGAAGATATAACAAATTGCTCATTCTTGCAGCAAAAGCTGTTTTTGAAAGCTGTCATGTTGCTGACAGTTTTGATGAGCATTTACTTTAGTCTTGTTAAACATATTAATTGAACTTACTTATGGAGATGTGTTCCAAAGAGGGTTACTATTTCTTTAGAAAGCAATATTTTCACAGAAACGATGAGACTCAGCTTCCTGTAGAAGAATACCATTGCAACGCAATTTATAATTTCACTTATTCCAAAAGTGCAAATACAGTTCTTTTTGTATGGCTTAAAGAAGCCTGAAGCTGCATCTGTAGAGAGCGGTTTATTATGAAACTCTTTGTAAAAGTCCCGAGCCCTATTCATTCAGCCCAGACAAACAGCTGAAAATATGGTCTGCCTTTGCAAACTTCAGTGTATGACATGACGAACTGGCAAACTGCCTGGTTTCTACTTAAAGGATTGTCACTGAGGGGAAAATAAATTTCTCTAACTAGACAAAAGTCAATGTTTTCATGTTTTATTGCAATCAGACTGATATGGCTGATAATTTGGAGTCTCAACACTTATAATATTGGTGGATAATCAGTAACTTCAATCAATCAAAGCTCCACGATTCCTCTTTTAAAAAGTCTGTATAAATATGACTAAGATGTTTAAACAGTTTAGCTATCTTCCTCCATTCCCACTAATGTTTTCTGATGCTTTATTGAACAATAGAAAGCTTTTGCATGTATTAGCATGGGATCTATTTGGAAACAGGCTTTTTACAAAATTACAACAAGCCTGTATGTAATCGGAACTGCAAACCTTTCTTTTAACATTCCATTCTATTTTAATTTTATGTATATCTTCTAGTCTGCTCGCCTGTCAAGGAGATGTGGAAATGTGCTGGCATTCCAGCTGAAGACATCATTATGAGTGAGAAAATGCTCAAGGCCCTTTTTCAAAGTGGGTGCCGAAAGAGATGCTTTCCTTCTTTGACTTCGGGGAAGGCTGAGAGCTGCCCCAGAAGACAGGCATTGAGAGGTCAGAGGCTAGCAAAGCTGACTGTGTGTGAGCACATGTGTTTGAATGTGTGCACACACACATGTAGTTGTCTTCAAGGTTTTACTGGGTGATGGCTAAAATAAATAATCTTTCTTTTTCAATAAAGGATGCACTACAAAATATGATGATGAAGAAATCCATAACAAAGGACAACCAGCCTGCAGTGAGAGAATTCTAAGCAGCACACACATGGCAGAAGTGATTTTAATATCAGACAGGTTTAGTTTCCTAATCTTTGCTATTCATATTGACGGGTAGCTTCATATGGTTTTAGAGATTTGTATCTATTAAGACATGCTGCAGTGTTCCTACAACCTGGGAACAAGTGTGCTGGAGATCAGTGTTCTTCTTCCTCTGTGATAAAAATTGATATGAACTGTTTTAAACTACTAGCAGATAATTACTCTGAACACTCAATAAAGAAAGCTATATCTTTAGAGCCTTCCTTTATCTTTTTTTTAAAAAAAATTCACTATCCCCCCCTCTTTTGTTTCTTTGATTACTTGGAGCCTTGTAATCAAACTCAGCTTAGTTTCAGGACCCTTGGGGCAGTATCTCTTAGTTCCCTGTCAAGCTGCGTTGCAAAACAATCAATCTTGCTCTGGCTCTCTCTTGGCGGAAGTGCCACGACACCAGGAGTGCAATGCTTTGCTCTTGCCATGAAGCCTCAATGACAAAAGTTTTTATAAGAAGCTGACTGTATTTAGGGTTATGAATATGCAATGACTCTCATTAGTATTGAAGCACGGGAGCAAGGGCTGACATCTCCCCTCCGCCACTTTGAGCTGCGGCAGAATTGTCTAATGAATTGTCTTGCTCTTTCTCTTGCACAGGCTTTCTCTGTTGTGGCTCCCAGTTCCAAGGGGAGTTGCCCAGTTTGAGCATACTATTGACTGCAGAAATTAATTGCCAAGAACTGCTCTTGATTTTGTTAAACAATCTTGTGACAGTGTTTAAATTGTCAAAACAGAAAATCATTCCACTCCACGCGAGATAAACTCAACCTGAGGGAGGGGACCCGTATGTCAATTAATTTGGACACACACTTTGCTCATATGTACATGTGTACAATGCAAAGATTTACATATTTCTATGTATATGGGGAAATCCACACAGACAGGCAATTCCCCCCACTCCCAAAACCTCCTTTAAGATCAACACTGGGTGTAATCAAGTCATACATATCTGGCATTCTATTGGTTAGGCACTTTGTCTTCTCAGTAGAACAAAGCAGGATGACAGAATGATCTCCAAATGGAAGCTATTCATACAGCACAAAGCTATTTTGTGAACTCTTCAGGACTCTTTCTCACACATTCCTCCCTTTCCCATCCTAGTCCCTACCCAACATTTAGTGTTTTACATACACAATCTAACACAAATGTGATATCAATAACCTTGTGTACCAGGATTTTTGTTCCTGGGTTATAAATGTCATTTCCTAATTGGTTCTATCATAAAAGCATGGAAAAGTTTATTAAACTGTAAAACCTTTGTTTTTGCAGGACATCCTGCAGCACATTTTGCTATAGTTTTTCAATTAGTATCTTATCAAGTTGCAACCAATTCAACATACGAAAAATATGAAGTTTCTAGAGTATAACAACTACTTTCAAAGTACGTGCCACACAATTTAATAGGAATAACACTTTCAAACTAGGAATATATATTTTTTTCCAAATTTTGTTACATAGTGTAATAATAACTGAAACTGATAAAGATACCTGCCTTGATGTGTAGTATACGAGAAGCAAAACATGGTCAGCTACATGTCTCAGCTGGATAAATTAAATAATAGTAATAATAATAATAATAATAATAATAATAATAATAACAACAACAACTTAATTTTTGTACCTCCCCCCCCCTCCATCTCCTTGAAGGGACTCAGGGTGGCTTACATATGGCACAATATGCCTAAAACAACGTAAAATAGACACACAATACAGTACAAGATAAAACTAATAACATATCAAACAATAATTTAAGTTCATAAAAAACAGCGCCCAACTGTCGTAAAACACGGTCAACTGTAGACAGGAACAAGGGAATATGGTAGTGCAAGTTGTAGTTAATAAACTAGGGCATGGGACAAAAATACAGTGCTTTGTCATTAATTGCGAACCATCGGGTCTAGAAGAGTGGTTCTAAACCTGTGGGTCCCCAAGTGTTATGGCTACAACTCCCAGAAATCCCAGCCAGTTTAGCAGCTGTTAGGACTCCTGGGAATTAAAGGCCAAAACATCTGGGGACCCACAGGTTGAGAACCACTGGGCTAGACATTCTCAAATTCTTCAATTCTTGTTATAGACCCATTTCCTTTCTCTCTCTCTCCCTTTAAAATATAGAGAAAGTTTTTGCATGCTGCACAGATAGGAAAAACTCAAAATGGATATGAGGGAAAAGTAGGAGGTGGAATGGAATTAAGAATATAGTCTTTACGGGAAAGCAATCAGTATTGATGCACCTTATTTCACTGGATATACAGTGAAACTAGTTATGCTAGAAGAAGAAAGAGCTGTTAATGTCAATACACTGGGGATGGGGAGGGAAAATAAGATCTTTGCTTGTCTCTCGCCCCAACTTTTTCAGTGTTCAGATTCATATTTCTATCTTCTGTAGAACCTCCATATAGATGAGAACAGTTGAAGAACAAACACAGTTCTGACAAAAGTGGTGCAAGTATCATACATCAAACACTTGTTACCTCACTTGGCCTTAGGAATTGCACATGACTAAGAACAAGGCAGTGATAAAATCTGAAGAAAGATGAAACCAATCTGGGCCTTTTTAAAGACCATCAATCATTCTGTGCAACCATGATATTATTAGCTAAAACTGAGCCTTGTTCTCCTGTTTAATGGACATTGTAAACCCCATCCCATTTCTATCCTGAGACCAATACTACCATGGGAAATCATTTTTATGGGCAATATCTTCATAGGGAACCAATCAGATCTAATCAGATAACAAGCTACTGAATTATTCAGTATTCTCCCTAAATTTGCATTCTAGCTGTTCTTTGCTGTCAGTCCCTACTTCTAGAAGTATGTGAATTTTTGCTCCTCTACCCATTATGTTAAGAAGACAGTGTGATGTGGGGATTTTTCATAATCTGTATATTCTATAACTATCATTGGCTTGTATGCGTGGTTACCACATGTGAATAATCATGTAAAAATATTTGGTTCCTGTTTTTTAATACACTGCTATTAAATTCTTACCATTCCCAAATGTAAAACCAGCAGGCCCAAGCACAGGAAAGTGAAAGCATTGTTTTGGATGTGTAAAATGTTAAAATGTACAGTACTATGCAAATAATCACCAGCATTCCTGATAGATATTTCTGTGAATCTGGAATTTTATTATGTGAAAATATTGCAGTTTTAATTGCAAATCTTGGTAGAGATGATTTGAAGCCTGTAATTAGCACATAAATTCCAGACTTTGTGACTAGTATGAAAACATATAGTATTTATGGAATGATTATCTAAATATAATGCAGTGTTTTCTGTTTTTAGTGAATACTGTAAAGTCTGATTTAATAAAGAGAAGAACTGCTATTTCATGGATTTTTAATCTTACAGCATCAGCTCATTCTGCCCGCTACCGATTTGAGGCAACATTGTGTAAAACTTTTTCATCAACAGCATAAATAGTAGAAATATATTTACAAAAACAAAGAACTGCTTCCATCAGAGTAATTCTGCTAGTGCAAAGTGGTGCTACTATTTGAAAACTTCAATTTTTACCCTTCTTCAATTGTGAAGTCCAACCCTTTTGTGTTTGTACAAGCAACTGGGCAAGTTGTTTCACAAGCTGCTCACAATCCATTCTGGAAATTGTTCCGCAAATTATTGTACAAGCTGTTTCATAAGCTGCTGCACAAACCATTGCATAGCTGATAGGCTTTCCTTGATGCATGTGTCGCATGTACATAGTATTAGAAGTTGTGCAAGCACTAGAAGGACAATGTTACCTTTTCTACTTTTTCTAATGGATGCAACCTGGAGATTTCATTTAGGTCGCTATAATTAATAGCTAAGCAACAGGCTAATAAATGAATATCATTTCTTCTAGTCACCCTCTCTCTTTCTGTAGTGGGAGGGGACAGCTTTTCATTCAGTTAGATCACTACCACGGATCCATCCACTATGACTTAGAATTCTGTTTTGAGTTCTAAGTGTGAGGTTCTAGCTTTTGTTTTGTTTCACTGTGTGAGAGAGATAACTGACTGGCAGACTAAAATAGTAGCAGTTCAACAACATGTTTTAGGGTGGCACAGATATTGCTGCTGTATAAAATTGGCAGTTGTGCTTCTTGAATGGAGCAGGTGATTGGTATTTTATGTCTTATTTAGTACCCACACTACACCAAATAATGATAATAACAACAGCAACAACAACAATAATAATAATTTTTATTTATATCCCGCCACCATCCAAGGGAACTCAGGGTGGCTTACAAAGGCACTCAAAGGTGCAACATATAACATAAACGGTACATGAGTATAAAAAAGATCACATAGAAATTATAAAAACATCAATTCCTATCATATAACAAAAACTTGCTGCCATACCCAAATGACCTTTTTGTTGGCTGCCCCTAAATTGTGGAATGACGTGTTCATTTTTTGTAACTTTTTCAGGCTTGTGGTCCCACCAGTTCTTTGTCACAGGCAGATGGTATTTGTGGCACAAGTTCCAATGAATCATCTGAGCAACGGTGTTGTGCCTCTGCTTGTAGTCTGTCTGCGCAATCTTATTGCAGCAGCTGAGGATGTGATCTATTGTTTCATCTGCTTCCTTGCAGAGTCTACACTTGGGATTTGTCATTGACTTTTCAATTTTGCCTTTGATGGCATTTGTTCTAATGGCTTGTCCTTGGGCTGCCAGAATCAGGCCCTCCAACTCCTTTTTCAAAGTTCCATTTATGAGCCACCTCCATGTTTTTTCTTTGTCGATTTTGCTCTCAATTTTTCCCAGGAACTGTCCATGGAGAGCCTACATTATTATTATTATTATTATTATTATTATTATTATTATTATTATTATTATTACATTATTATTATTATTACATTATTATTATTATTACATTATTATTATTATTATTATTATTATTATTATTATTATTATTATTATTATGGGTTGAATCTACTGTTGCATCAGACTCTTCCTCTTGCTTTCTTCTTGGCCCTCCCCACAAATGGAGGGTCTGGAGAGTCAGTGGTTTGTCTCAACTATATTTAAGACATATGAGCTGAGTGCAGGGAAAGGTAGAAAAAAGGGAATTGTTGTATAAGAAATCTCTACCTCTAATCTGACATACTGTTGTACCTGCAATGTGGAAGGAGAATATTTCAGGAAATGTTCTAGCATTTGATCTTGTTGATTCAGAAGCATCAACTGAACCTCATGCACTAACAAATTATTTGTTTTCATGTGCAGCTCACTATTACATGCTAATTGTATAACACATATATCCAGAACCTATAATTTGCTGCATACTCACATTATAGTTTTATGTGCACAAATATAATGTTTTGTACTGAGAACCTAGTATATTTCCGTTTTTCCTGAGTTATAATGCCAATTCTTGAACACATTGGTTGTCACTCCTTTTCTAACGATGGAAAGCCAAGCTTGGGTGAAACAAAATTAAACCTTGTTAGTGTCAAATGAATGTGCATTAGGATGGTGATCCTGATGCTATGAGAATACAACATTTCTGCTTCATTGGACAAAAGTCAATCCGACTTCCCACAGAGGCCAAGGACATGCCTCTGAGAACCCCACATGCACTGCAGAGGGATAGTAGGCCTCTTGCCTTTTTGTTCACCAATGGTTGGTATGCAGATATATAATGCCTCTGAGTCTGGCAATAAGATGCATCAGTCATGGTTGGAAGCCATTGGTGGCTTTATCCTTCATGAATTTAGTCTAATCCCCTGTTAGAGACACTTTGTGGTAGGGAGTCTCATTGCAAAGAGATAAGCTATGTATTACTGTCCAAATGTTTCTGACTCCCATAAGTCCCAGCCAGAATAACAAAGGGGTCAGTGGGTGTGAGGGTTGTGTTCCAAAACACCTGGAGGGCACCAGGTTGCCTATCCCTGTCACATATTAATGATGCCAACCCAGCAGGCAAAACAGATGGAGTCATTCTTGGATTTTGACAGCAATTTTGCAGGGATTTTTTTCTCTGCCAGAGATCATATCCTTGAGAAACAGGTGGTAGCAGCTCGAGAGATGACATCTCTCTCTTTTCTCCCCTCTGATGTTCAGCAGTCGGGCAAGGCAGAATTCCTGCAAGGGCACACCTCCCAGCCCTGCAGTCAATTTTGAGTTTAGACGTGAATTGTGATATCAATGTCATGGTGCACGTGCTTTGAGAAAGTAGCTATGAAGAATAATAGAGATTCAGTGGCAAGCCACTGAAAGCTGTAATTTAAGGTTCCAGGAGCCTCAGTATTACGATTACCATTAAAATTTACAGTGACAGAAGCCCAATTACATATGGTTATTTTCTTTTCTTAAATCAAACCATATTTCTGCCGTACATGAAAGATTCATTTCCTCCTACCAATCACTGTCACGGGGAACCTATCTTTGTCGCTTTTGGTGTCAGAAGAGATGGGTTAGCCTTATCCCTGTGACAATGAAAGGATCAATGAGGGTAGCAAAGCTGGGAGCCTCTTTGGAGCCAGCAGAGGAGACTGATTTGCATGATAATCAGCCATGGATCCGCTCAGTGCAAGCCTCTACACTTAGCAAAGTGCAGCTCAACTTTAATAGCCGCCAGTGAAACAGAATCTAAGAGGGAACTTCAACACTCACTCTGGGAAAAACTGGCAGGTAAATCTGCAAAGTCTAGCTCCAGCAGCAGTCCTAACGACCAGGCAGGATCAAAGAGGCTGACGCTTCACTCAGAAAACACTGCCAATTCAGGCTCGTTTGTTTATTCAATTAAACGGTGTTAGTTTAACTAAACTGACTGACCCATGCATTGATGAAAGTTCATATTTTCATAGCATTTCATTTCCATCTCTCTCTTTGAGGGATATCTTTTCATCTATACAGAACCAAACCTTCCTTTTCCCAATTCTAATGCAAATTTCACGATGCAATCTTCATTTCTGGAGTGTGAGTTAATCTGTGGATTCAAGGTCATGCCAGTCTTTTTTTTTTATTACATTAGTATCCTACCTTTTTTTCAAGGTCGATGGAAAAAGACATGCTGTTTGGCCTAAGCTACAGTGAAAGAGACACTTGTCATATACACACATACTACCAACTGTATCTTATATTTAAAAATGGGATCCTGTACAAACAAAATAAGAGACAGACATGGTAGTCCTTTCTGGCTCGCAATATAATTAATGCATTGTCTTTTCATAATATTAGTAGTCTTCACTTCTATGTTGTCAGTGGTTCTCTTACATTGCTTTGCCTCTGTCCTCCTGTATCATTTGTCTAGACCATGGGTTCTCAAACTAAGGCCCATGGGCCAGATACGGCCCTCCAAGGTAATTTACCCGGCCCTCGCTCAGGGTAAGCCTAAGTCTAAAACAACTTGAAGGCACACAACAACAACAACAATCCTATCTCATCAGCCAAAAGCATGCCCACACTTTCCATTGAAATACTAAGTTTATATTTGTTAAAATTTTTCTTCATTTCAATTATTGTATTGTTTTAAAGTGTTTTTTGCATTACAAATAATTTATGTGCAGTGTGCATAGGAATTCATTCATTTTTTTAAAAAAAACCTTATAACGCAGCCCTCCAACAGTTTGAGGGACTGTGACCTGGACCTCTGTTTAAAAAGTTTGAGGACCCCTCATCTAGACACTATTTGCTCTACTGCTTCCGACCCCAATTCTGTGCTTGTCTGGAGGTGAGTCTCAGTCATTATTCAACAGAAACTTGTCATTCAAGGTATGAATGTGTGGTTTGTGTGAAATTCTTGTTGGGATAAATTTAAACAGCCATAAATTGTTTTGCTTCATCTAGGGAATGAGAAAGGAACAAAAGCTCTCTACAAAATTGTCCTGCCAAACACAGCCAATGCTGAAATAGCAGCTATCTGAGCCGGGGGGGGGGGGGGGGGGGGGGGGGGGGGGAGAGGGGTAGGCGAAATATTTAGGTTGAGTCTGTACACATGGAAGAAGGAAAGGGCAGCCAAGGCTTCTTTATACATTTATGTTTCTCTGCTGTCCCTATCAATAAATTGCCTTCTGTTGTGTAAGATGGGCAACAATCACAAAGGAAATGTTCCTTCTTTCCTTATAATTAACCCGCTTCTCCAAAAGTGGCAAAAAAGCCATTTGCAAAAAATAAAACAATAAAGCCAAAAGCAATTAAATAAGATTCCAACTAAATTAAATAAAACATATTTCAAATGCACTGGCACCAAAGCAAAACCAACAACAAAAAATAGAAATCTAAGCAAGAGAGCAGTAAAAGATGAAAATATCATTTCATGGAGACAAATAAAGGGAGATTTATTACAGGAATGGGGAACGTGGCATCAAGGCCTGTTTAGCAGTCCCTGAAATTGAGTATCATAGCCT